AACTATTCTCTTCTATCCATAACTAGAGTAAACGAAGAAATTGTAGTTTGTGCCAAAGAAAAGAAAATGTTGAAAACAATTACGAACGGTTTATGTCCCGCAAATAAAATTTTAAAATACTCATTTCTTCTTTGGCAAGTATCTATTCACGGTAAATTTTATGTTGTTTCGCGAGTGAAAGTAAAATCATGATTGCAAGTAGTAGTTTTAGATGAAAGCAACAAGCCAACAATTTAAATAAGGACCTATTTGATAGCAGCAGTATAGGTTAGCGTTTTGAAAATGTTATGTAATGGTAAGTTTTAGCGTCAATATTTTTTGAATTAATGTACACTACTATTAAAATTTTATCTAAAATGATATCATTAACTGAAAACATTCTTCCAAACAAAGTCTAAAAAATTTGTACTCGATGTTTTTTTATATAAAATACTATATTTCAATAAGACATTGACATGTTTATTTCGTAATTTATATTTTGTTTGATTTTTTAATCATGTTACAATGAAAGAAAATAAAGCAAAAAAAGCGTTCATTTGAACCCGTGCGTGGCACGGGTCAAATACTAGTTAATATTATATGTGTGTGTGCGCGCTATTGTAGTCATAAGATTCAAATGTGAAATATATTTTGTTCCTAATTAAATGATATATAATTTCATGAAATAAAAATTATAAAAAAAATAATGGCATAACAATATAAAATTATATAAGTAGACATAATTGACGATTGAGTTTTTATAATTGGGGAGTATTGATTTTCATATTACAAATAATTGTAACTTTTTTTTCCAAAAAATAATTATTGTTGTTTGATGTTTATTGGATAAGTTGAGTTTAGAGTCTTGAGATGTGAGTTTTAAATTCAAAAACTCACTTTCACACCTCAATGGTAATTAAAAAGTATGGAGAAGAGAGCTGTTAGACTTTCCTTTAGACTAGCATTCAAGATGCCTTGAGGATCATGAAAGAATTTGAATAGTTTTGGAGATATGCAGATTGCGGGCAAGATATTCTAAGTTTTTTGGGTAAGATATTCTAAGTTTTTTTGGTTAAATATATTTTTTGTTCTCATAAAATAAACGGAATAGTACATTTATTTCATACTAAACACTAGTGTTAATCCCGTGCTTCGCACGGGCTCGTATACATTCTAAATTTTTGATATTCTATAAATATAACTTTATTTATTTTAGTTTTTTTAATAGTGACATAATATGTGTTAGATGAATATTTTTTATACTCTAAGATACGGAGTATATCTTTTTTCAAATAGTGTAATTTAAATATAGATGTACATGCACTAAAGATTCTATAAATATTTTCTTTAAAGGTAGTAAAAGAGAAATAATTTATTATTTTTAAAAATCATACGAGTATAAAACTTTATTTTTTAAAAAATCGATAAAGTTAAAGAATATTTTATACATATAATTTAATTATGTGAATAGAATATGTTTTAAACGGGTGTAATATATATTGGTATGTTTATTTTAAAAAAAATTATACAAAACTAATGACAATTATTGAATGAAGTACCAATTAAATGGTTTAATTAATAAAACATTATAATAAAAATGGACTAATTAAATAATGATACAACATTAGAGAATGTATATGTGACAATATATATGTATGTTTGCATGTATGTATGTATATATGCATCTATATATATATATATATATATATATATATATATGCATCTATATATATATATATATATGCATCTATATATATATATATATATATATATATATAATAACATGTCAAAGTCCTATTTAAATTAAAACATTTTGAAAATTTTGAGGTATACATCTTTGTATAATGTTTTAAACCCATTTTGGTAAAAAAATATGATTTCTCATTTCCTAGATTATTTGATAATAATAATAATAATGACCATTTGATTATTCTTCTTTGCATTAATTAAAAAAATTAGATTACCGGCCTTATGATTCAAAGAATATGATTCTTCTATCGCACATTGTCGCATTAATTTTGATTTCCAAAATAAACTGTATATTTTTACTAATACATTTATTCATAATTATTCTAAATTATTTATAAGTAAAAAGTTTTGAGTCGGTTAGTGAAATAAAATTTATATTTTTAACCATAACTATTCAAAACCTTATGATAATATGCTCAATAATCTATTTGGAGCATTGGTTCGTACCACAATCTACTCAAAACTAATCGATAACGTGGTAAACAACTTCCTTATTTCTGTCGCTCTTAATTGCAAACATATAGCAGCATATCGTTTAGGCAAAATTAATGCTTCTCATTCTTCCTACGATTTGCCCATGCTCCGAGTGATATTCACATAGAAAAAACCTGTATACATAAATCCAAATATGAAATTTACTGTTTGAAGTAAAGAATATTCTGTTTGAACATCTCAAAACTTAAATGTGTCATTTTACTTGAGTCAGTGTGATTACCTCAACACAGCTACCCTCTATTACCCTTTTGCAGTGCGCAAATGAACTGTAGTACCTTCTATTCTTATCAGTAATGTTATAAATCATTTAAAAAAGAGTTGTACACGGTTGAAGTTCTGAAAGGGAAACATAGAAAAATCATTAAAACAAACCACAAATAAAAATGTCTATAAAATATTGTAACTATTAAAGGTTTAGATAATTACATCTTCCCAGTCAGAGCCATCTTCCCAGTCAAAGCCAAAAATACTCAAAATATCTTCAATAATTTTCAATCGTGAATCATGATAAAATCGTATCTGTCAATAATTTTTCTTTCAATCATAACGGGGATCATTATATACTTTGTGGATGAAATGCATAAAGCTATAGCATAACTTGTCTCCAACAGCATTATACCGTGTTGTTGGAGACAACACGGTAGATAGGGTGTAGAGATAGCAAACCACCTATAATAAAAGCAAACAATAAAAATTACCTCTGTTGGTTTTTCCTTTTTCCCACCAAATTCTTACAAATCCCGAAATGTTGATATGTTCTAGGTTTGAGTATCAGAACTCCATTAGTTTCTGCTCAGAGAACAACAAATTATGATAAACTAAACTTTTCAAAGAAAATTGTTAAAAAGTGTAGACTCCAACTTAGTTTAGTACCTTATCTCTAAAGTCCATGTGGAGTTTAATTGAACAAAAAAAGCCTACAGTCAGAATGAATAATTACATCAGGACATTCATTCATAAAGGTTTGTTTTTTAGTATCATTCATATAAATTGTTAATTCAAGATCTTACAATCATCTATAAGAACAAAGTACCTTTATAATCATGGGAGTGGAGAAAATATTGGGGAGGTTGAACACAATCAGATAGTTTTCTGCACTACTCAAGGTTTTCCATGGATGCATGTACCGAAAAGAAGCCACCGATGCTCTGCACATTCTCAAACTAATGCATCAAAGACCACTGCCATCTAATTTCCTGAATCCAATTTGACAAAAATAAACATAAAAAATAAGTGTGAATTTCAAGGAGAAAAAGGAAAGCGGAAGACGATTACTTGAACATGTTAACTGTAAGTCATATAGGGGGTGCTCCAAACAGTGTAGAAGCAGAACATATGTTGAATTTCAATGTGCAAACTATCCAAAGATTCTAGAGAAAACACCACTTCCGGCGCTAAGAAGGCAACGACGGTTCAACTCAAATTGAGTATTATTCCTACTAACCCAAGCTAGGAAGCATACAGAGCACTTCTTGGACGAACATCCGCGAGCTGCTATTTATAACCCTAGCTGAGAAGCAAACAATATCCAATGATTCTGGCCTAGAGAATGAGCAGGAACATGGTAACTCTAACTGCTCTTAGCTTCATCATCAATAATCTGGAACTTTCATCAACATTTTTTAAGGCGGTAATAATCATCCCCATGTTTGTACAAAAAACGATGGTGGAGCACCGATCCATTAAAACACTCATTTAATTTAAACAGTTGTTTAATTTAAACACTCGTTGATTATCTTACTTATCTCACCCGGTAAGGTAGCGTGTTTATACTATATGAATTTATGAATTTCACTATTCCTTTATTGTTAATTGGTAATAATTAATTACCAATTTAAATTACTTACCTTTTTAATAATTTCTAATTTAAATTAATCACATTAGTATTATTATTATTTCTTTATATTCACGTTTGGTAAGGTTTTCATAAATGGGAAATTGGGAATGAGTCAAAACCGTGTAACATTAATAATTCGTTCAAAAGAATTATTATTAGTTCTTTAAATTACTTACCATTTTAATCATTGCCAATTTAAATTAATAATGTTATTTTTATTATTATTGTGTAATCGTGTAACATTAATTGACATCAATTCCCATAACTAGGTTGGCCATTTTAACGTTATTATTTAATTTAATTTAATTATTTATTGTAATTGACTCATTACCATTTTAAATGAACAATTACCTTTTTTTGCAATACCAAATGGGCAGGATTAATAAAAGTAATAAAAGTAAGTTTACAATAAAGGTTAGTAGATTAATAATTAGAAATTTTTGCTCCATATAGCACTCAAACACAAGGAAATTCCGTATATAGCACCAATAAGTTTTTTTCCCCTAAATGGCACCTTTTAATATGTTAGTGGACCTATTTGTCCTCCACGCCACTCCCCTCTTTTTTTCTTTCCTCATTAAAAATCTAATTACTCATAATTATCTCCATAAAATTAGGAACTAAAACCCAGCACCCATTAAGCGCACGTCTGTCATCATCTAAACCCTCGCCATTCCCGTTTCTGTTCTTTTTCCGTTTTTCGTTCCCCCCTTCTCACCGCCGTGCTCATCTCGAGCAGCAAGAACATGTTCTCTTCATTATTGCAAGCGCTCTCTCAGCCGTTGCCCCCCAGAAAAGGTATGTTCGTGTTCTCCTGAAATTTGATGGTGTATGGTCTAATAATTCAGAATTTAACTCTGACGGGTTTTATGAAATTGACGTCTGTTGTGGGGCTACGTATGAGGATCTTATACAATTAATCCGATTGACAGTACCGTCATGTGCTGAAAATTCAGATTTTATATTGTCATACACGTCCAATTCTACTCAGTCGCGTAATTTTGTTCACGATGACTCTACCCTCGATTTTTACATTCGATTGAAACTGAATCATAGCAATGTCAGTGAGTTCCCCTTATGTGTTGAGTTATGGTCTAGTCATGATTCCCCATGTGATTCCGAATCCGATTTCAACGATACCTCTGAGGGGGACACATCTCCCCACGGCCATGCGAGCGCCCAGGGTGGTGTTGTCCGTGATATGCACCAAAGCAGCCCAAGTTGTAATCACTACGATCACCGTGTCTTACCTTCTGGGCCATTTCCGTTGTTTGAGACATACAGTGAGGATACGCAGGTCGAGAACAATTTGTTGCTGTCCAACGAAAGTTTAGTGTCACATAGTACCCGCATGTCTGTTGAGGAAATATCTACGTTAAGGGATTTGAAGGTTATATCCCGGTTTGATCCAACAACGATCGCGGTACGTGCAATTTATGAGAGCAAGAAGGATCTGCTTTTCCATCTTAAGAGATTGGCAATAGCCAATTACTTCCAGTTTAGGACAAAAAGATCGAACAAAAGCTTCCTCCATGTTGTTTGTGTCGATTACAAAAGATGTAGCTGGGCGGTCCGGGCTGTGCGTTTGGATAAAAAAGTGGACTTTTTTCAAGTTCGCAGGTTTGTCCTTTAAACCTTTCTTTCGTTTTATGTTCGTCACATCGCTATCCGTAATGACCAAAAGTCAAACATATAATGACTACATATTTATGCACAGTGGTCATTTCTTACTGCATTAATGTCCATGTAATACATAATGAAATCTACTTTTTTTTCCAGAACCTTTTCTGTATACGTCCTTGTTCCCATACTCTCTGAATGCTTAAATATTGTGTGGCTTTATGGTGTTTCATACTGACCTAACGCCTAATTACCTTTGCTGTCTTTGGTTTTGAATACATGCACCGCATAATGACCTCATGTAATGGCATTTACTTTTACACAATGTCATAATATAATGACTACTAACGAAATGACTATTTATTTAAGCATATTGTCATCATGATTACAGAATGTGTGTATACATTTCCTTCTATAATGTCCCAATGCTTGATTAAATAGCCTGATCTGGATTTCAATATATGTCGTGCATAATGTCTTTATATAATGACTACCCACTTTCTCACACTGTCCTAATATAATGACTATTCCCATAATGACTATTTATTTAAACATAGTGTCCTGATAATGCGTGTCTTAAATTTGTTTAATGCTGAAATAATGTGTGTTACCCAGGTATGACCACGAGCATCAATGCCCTATAGATGCACGTCAAGGGAAAACAAGACAAGCTACTTTTGATGTTGTCGCAAATTTTGTGAAACACCAATTTCATGATGCAACAAAGAAGCCTTACCCGCCGAAATCGATTATGGCAGACATGCAAAGGGAGCATGGTATTTATATGACATATAAAAAGGCGTGGTTTGCAAAAGAAAGGCTCTTCAACTCTGTTTTGGAACTCCGGAGGAATCTTATGCATCATTGCCGGCTTTGTCTTTTATGTTGAGTGAGGCAAATCCGGGGTCGTTTATACAGCTCTCAACGACCCCAAGAAATCTTTTCAAACACTTCTTCATTTCACTTTCAGCATGGAGGGACGGGTGGCAACATTGTATCCCGGTGTTGATTATTGATGGTTCGTTTATGAAATCATACTACAAGGGAACTCTATTAAGTGCAGTCACACGGGATGGCAATAACCAGATTTTCCCTTTAGCTTTTGGATTCTGTGATAAAGAAAATACTGTGAATTGGTCATGGTTTCTAACGAAGGTCAAGGAGGCCTTGGATTATCGTCCTGTTCAGTGTGTAATATCCGATCGGCATGAGGGTATAATAAGCGCAGTGAACACCGTATTCCCCGGTGTAAGCCATGGCCATTGCATTTATCATATTTTCGGGAACATAAAACACAATTTCCGTGGCTCTCAAAAATCCTTGTCTTGGAAGTTTTATGGTGCTGCACGTGCTGCATCCAAAGCCGAATGCTACCAGTATTTGCAATACTTGGAGCAAGATGATCCACGCATTATTCCATACTTGGATGATATTGGCTTTGAGAAATGGGCTAGGTCATTTTCCACCAACCGTTACTCCATAATGACCTCAAATCTTGCGGAGTCCATGAACAGCGTTGATGCTGTTCCACGAGAATATCCTATTGCCAGGGTAGTTGATTTTTTGCTAGTAAGGATGCAAAGGTGGTTCCATGAACGTTGGGAGTTGGCAAATTCCACGTCATCAACGTTAACAAAGCACTATGAGTCCAAACTCAATGCTCTTCATGCTTCCTCAGCCGTTATGAATGTATACCCTCTTTAAAATCTTTCTTTAGTTCAATTTTCTATTCATTACTAAAATACTACTGTAACATATACGCAGGTCCGGCCAGCATCCAACTTTGAGTTTCTTGTCATTGAAACCGATGGGAGATCTTTTGTTGTCAATTTCCAAGATCGGACATGCACCTGTGGCGAGTTCCAACTTGACAATTTCGTTTGTGTTCACGCTGTCGCTGTGACACGTCAGAGACCCGGGTTATCATGCTATGATTATGTTTCCCCATACTATACGGCGAGTGCATGGAGTAGTGCATACAATGGTGTTGTTCACCCAATCCCGTCTAAAGATTTGTGGGTTTTGCCCGATGATGTGCATGCCATCATTTGCAAGCCCCCCACATGTTCTAAACGGCCTCCTGGACGCCCCAAGAAACGTCGAATACCATCGAGAGGTGAACCTCGGAAAAACCAGTCATGTTCACGATGTAAATCGTCTGGTCATAATAGGAAGACATGCACAAACCCACTTCCTTTGAACTAGCACTGATCTTTTAGTTATTTTTATTATTTATATTTTTTGTCCGCCAAACACTGTTCACCTTTTTTGTACGTGACTATTTTAGTCGAAGACATGTGTTTTTTATACTCAATTTTATATAAAAATTTATCTTTTTAAGAATGACCTTATACCTGGACAGTAAATTCTGACTTCTATTTCAAAATCATAGTCGATATCCATGTATCATCACGCATAATGACCATAAAAATTCTCTGACTATCTATCTAATTCTTCTTTTGAGAATGTAATTATAATGTCTTCATAAACAGAAACAATGAACAATTTAAAGTCCTTAAGGCACACTAACTACTGATCAAGACCAAAAACCTATGACGAATATTAAGCAATCGGTCATTATAACTGTCTGCATGACTACTCAAGACAAACTGTCTTGGGTAGCAAGCCAACATATTGACCAGGTCAAGGCCACCAGGGGGATCCACTTCCAAGCACTAAACAATTTATTTACAAAAAAAAACTCATCTGGTAATCAAACTTTAAGCACCTTTCATTCGACTACATATATCTCACGACACCATGTTTGATTCCCATATCCATGACCATTACTCCAAGTACAAGACGTTGGTCATTATTAATGCCAGAAATTTAGACATTATCATTTAATCTTTAAGTCGGTGCATGAATAGAACACAGGTCATTACCCAAAAAAACACCACAATGACTACGTTAACAGACACATCTACTCATATCAGAAATTGAGACCAAGACGCAACAGAAACAAAAACCCAACCATTTATAAAGCATGACATCCAGCATTAAAAAACGGTAGAATAATCCCCAATAAAACAATACAAATTACCCCCGTCTAGTAACAAAAAAAACAACACATAAGATTTCATTTCTTCACGACCGCCAACGTTGCGTAATTCATGAGTTCCACCGTCATTTTCCTCCGGTAATCATTGATTTTAACAGCATCAATGCCCCCCACATCCTTGCCCATCATGAGGTATTCTGCAACTTTCACTACAAATATTCCACAACTTGACCTATAAATAAAACAAAGTATCAACATTCTCGTTAAACACATTCTAGAGTATACAAGTACAAATGAAATTGGTAATGGTAAGCACTTACCCATCCACTTGCTGAGGACAGTTTGGAACCCCCTCCACACGCAACGCTGTTTCAGTAAAGGCCACCTAAAATGACTAAATAGTGTAACACTTAAACTCTAACAAAATGACTCCAAACACATATGAATGCATTACGTCAAGTCAATAACAAAACACAGTCAGAAGACACCAAATGTCTGGGTGTTCTTATGCTTGGAATTCATCCTGGAACAAAACTCATACTACTCCCACCTGACTACCATTACATAACACAATCAATCACTTCACATGACCTCAACAATGTCTACTATATTCAAAATTATTCACCAACCAAACATATTCTACCTGGCTAGTAGAAAATGCAGCTCTAAAATCACTAGGCGTGAAACAAAACTGTCTTATACATTCATTTCCAAACAATAATGTCTGCCTTCATTATCAACACATATATACCCCATCCATAACAATAAACATGAATGCCTGTGTTCTCATTATATATCTGTCTAGAACTGGCATCAATACAAACCATTATGTCTATCATTAGATAACAAATTCTATTAATTCCAAAACCAATACATGGTACACTAACCAAACACCTTGCCTACACATACTTATCGATAGTCCCAATTAACCCAACCACAAACCCAAAAAAAAACCTGTAAAACACCCAAAAAAGAACCTGAGGTCAATGACCCAACACTGTGTCAGGCATTATAATGACCAACCAATTCAAGTCAGTTAAGCTTAATTCCATTAGGTCATTACACAAACACGTTTCACATGAAACTACAAAAAAACAAAAAATAAAGACCTCAAAAATGACCTATAGTCTCACAATTTCAGCCCCACAACTAAGAAATGACTATCACACATTGCGGTCCACATCCTCAATGTTACAGCCAAAACTCAAATTAACCCCAATTTCAATTTTAAACTGCAACCAAAACAAAATTCCAATTAGACACACTTACACTTCCATTCCTCAACCTCACCATCATCCTAGTGTTCAGATCCGGCGGCGGTTCAGTGACGAAGTCATTTTCCTCGTCATCCACAGCCCTCCCAGTCACTGAACTCCTTGCCATGCCTGACAAACTGGATTCAACACGCCGCTTCTGTATAGCGCACGCTCTATTCAATTCGCTCTACTGACCTTCGTATCACCGTAAAACTCCAATTAGCAAAGGAAACAAAATCTCCATGCAAATAGGGATTGGTTTGTTCCCTTCGCCGTTTGGATTCTCCGTATAGCCAGCGCCGTTTGGATTCTCCGTAAAAGCCGCCCTTCCTTTTTTTTGTTTTTTTATGTTTTTCATTAAAGCTCCGGGCATTATGGTCTATTCCCATAAAAAACGTTGAGGGGAATAGCACTGGTGCTATTTGGGGAAACGGAACATCCAATGGTGCTATTTGTGTAATTTCCTCTAATAATTAACTAGTATTTAACCCGTGCAACGCACGGAGTCGAACGCATATTATTTTTAACTCTGCTAATTTTTTGTTTTAAGTAAATAATAAAAAAAAATAAATGCAAATATAATATAGAATGTTAGATACCACATAAACAGAGTATGCTAACTTAAATTCATGTATATAAAAAATTGAAAAGAACATATAAACGTATCGATTAAATCCAAATTTTTTGAAAAACTTCAGACTGAACCACATTTTTTGTGCAATTGCATGGGTTACCGTTGTCATCTAAAACCAACACTTTCAATTATTTCTTAGTTTTCACTCGTGAAACTGCAATATAAAGTTGACCGTGAGTTGAAATATATTGTTTACCTTAAAAATCTTATACAACTCACGTGGCTAATCTTTTATATGTGAAAAAATGTTTAATATTATCAATTGTTAAAAAGGGTTCGTGGCCACAGAATTTAGGGATCTAAGTAATATGAGTTTAATTTAACCTTGCTAATTTATATTTTTAATCGGGATCCATATTAGTTAGATTGTCCATCGCTTTTAGAAATGAGAATAAAGAAATTTGAAGTTAAAAAAATGGCCAAAATAATATTTAGTATCCCCTTTAGCAATTGATTAGTACATTACAATAAATACGTGATTAAATAAGATTATATTCAAAAATAATAATCAAGGGCATATTTATAAATGCTTTTAGCTATTTATTATCTAATTTTGGATCAAGTTTAATAGGGGTTGTTTTAAGTGTAAACGAATTTATAACATGTTAAAGAGATCTACATTCTCTTCGCTTAGTTTAATAATATTTTGTGTCTATTTTAAATATTTTTTATGGATTATAATTTTACATTGTAATTAATATTGATTAAACTAATATCCTTTTTATACAATTGAAAAAAAAAATGAGAAGTATGAAATCTTTTACTTACATAGTCATTGAAGTCACGAAGTAGAGCGAAATATAAAGGAATAAGAATAATATGTTTTGAATTAAAAAATAAACTTGTATGATGCATTATATGGATATAAGTGGCTAGAATGGAAGCCTCAAAGTCTTTAAACGCGTTTAAATTATAAATTAAATCATAAAAAACCAAAGACTTATAATCATAGCTTGTCTAGCGGTCAATCTTAAATAAAAACTTATCAAATCAAGATAGGATCTGTTGAAACTCTAAAATAAACTATCTAGTCTTTAGTCTTTCTCTATTTTGATGTTCTTCATCTTCTAGCTCGACTCATCCCCACCTACATGATAATGTTCCACGTCTTTCATTCTTTTGTTGATAGTAGTCTCGGTGATAACATTTACATCTTGTTCCTAGCGATTATCCTTAGATTCTCTAAAAGCTTCAATCAAATTCTACATGACAAAGTTTAAATACGTTTATGAAGTTTAATCAAGAATAAGTGTTGCTGTGAAACAATATGTTGATTCATTCCTGTCTGTTTTGTTCCAGGCTCATTTTGTTCATGTACAATTGTACCTGAAGTCTCCAACAATAGGCAGGTTTCTTTTTAACAATTCCGTAAGGTACCTGATTCTAGGCTTTTCTTTTAATTCTTACTATTCAATGAAGTACATATTAAAACTCACTTGTATCTAAAACAAACAAACACTATTACGTCATTAGTGTTGTTCAAACTTGAATATGGGTACGGGTATGGTCTCAATATGGGTATGGTTTCAACAGGCTTTTTTGTTCAAGAGGTCTTCACCACCATAAGTCTTGCATTGACATCTATTGTCTCTGTGTCTACCCATTTGTTACGCTGGATAGTCTGTATCCCATAAAACATATTAAACCGAAACAACCAAACCGCCAATCAGTCCGTGTAGTTGATAACCCAAATCCTAATGCAATATAACCTACAAATAAACCTAGATGTGCAGGCATACTCTGAAATCAGATTCATAGCTGCCATTCTTTCAACTAATAGGATGTTTTCTTTCTGAATATTGGTATGGTCTCAATATGGGTATGGCATAACAGGCTATCTTGTTCCTGAAGTCTTCACTGCCTTTGATTCTGGCATTAAAGGGTATGGTCTCAATGTCTAGCAAAGCGGGGTTCATGGACAGTCAGTCTAGCATAAAGCATATCAAATCCAACACATTTAATCATCTGTCAGTCATTGTAATAGATAGAGCAAGGTTGAATACATAAAATTTCATGCCAAATTGCCAGTCAGTCATTGTAGTTATAACCCAAATCCTAATGCAATATAACCCACAAATAAACTTAGATGCGCAGGCATACTCTGGAATCAGATTCATAGCTTTCCTCATGAACAGACCGTCTCAACACGGGTATGGCATCAATAGGCTGTTTTGATCCTGAAGTTTTGAACGACATAATCATGGCATTAATGGGTGGTCTCAATGTCTAGCAAATCCAGGTTCATGGACAATCATTAAGCACAAAGCATATTACATCCAACATATTACATCTTCTGCCAGTCATTATAATTGATAAACCAAAATTGCATTCAGAGAAGTTCATGGCAAAGTCTGGCACGGATGGGTATGGTCTAAATATCTAGCAAATCCCTGTTCACGGACAGTCAGTATAGCATAAAGCTAATTAAATCAAGTCTTTTGTAATTACTAAAAACCCAGTCATTCTAATCGATAGACTAAAAAGCCTGGTAAATGGACAGTCAGTACAGCATAAGCAACATAACCAAGCATCTGTCAGTCTTTCTATTTGATAGACTAAAAACCTAGATTTGTAATGTATGTTCAACGTTCCAGAAATTACTAAATATTTGAACTATTGTCTTAAAAGTGCTCATTGTTGATTAACGGTGGCATTGTACATTAACTTTGCATTTTTCTGTTTAAAACTATTAATACTAATGGTATGGTATCTTATCAAAAGTCTATTTTCACTTCTAATGAATCACTATAGAGTCACGAATTGTTCACCCAAAGACATGCCAACATTCATAATACAACTCTAACCCCAAGGCTATGGTCACATACGGGTAGAAATAATGCACAATTGACCATAACCTTATGGAGACATTCTCCAATTCAAATACCGGGATTCTAGACTGACAACTTCAAACAAAACAGTGACCAATGTCTCTATGGTCAGATGCATTTTTGTCTTCTTAAGTTTCAGTATTCTGCTTAAACGATATTCAAACAAACCAAAACTGAATGATGCAATGATTTAGTTATGCTTCACCCTCGGATTCACCAACAAAAACATACAAATTTATAACAGATGCATTTTTTTATTAAAGTGTGTGACTAAATATCCAACAGTTCTCACCTTTACACACGATGATGCCTCTCCTACGGAGAAGGTATGCTGCGATAATTTCTCTCCAGTCGAAAGTCCGAGCGTCACATCAGTCTATATCACAAAGTTAAATTATGAAATATTAGATATAATATACAAAGGTATAAGGCACAGGTGACTATGTTTTAATCAACAATCAATAAATCCGAATTTACGATTAAAACGTATCTTATCAAACCTGGATCAAACTCCGCTGGATTTTCAGTACTTCCATCCTACCGTTGTTGTAAAAGAGAATATGTCAGACTTTGAATAATTAAATATTTCTCTTATCAAAAGATGCATTTAGAATATTTCATTCAAAAGTACATACTGCATCTGTCTTTTCAAGCAATTGGAAGCATGAGGTATTTAAAATTGAGGAGGCTTCTTGGTCAAATAAAACAAATGTAGTTTTTTCCAGAATCATCCCTAACTGCGAGCTTGATCAAATATCTACCAAAAACAGATTAAGCATTTTAAGTAATTTTAAATAATCATGTTCAGAAAGATGAATATAGGAAAACCTTGGGGTGACATTCAAAACACGACATGCACAATGCATGCAATAGTACATGGTACCATCCGCTCTCACAGCTCTATTACACTTGCAAGCTAAATAAAACCAATCCCCACCACTGTTAACCGCCTCAACAGTGGCATACACTACATAGGAACCATCCCGTGTGGATAAAATTTATGCATTAGTTTGCTTTCAAAATTCAGTTTATATTAAGTGTATTCACTACCTCAGTTGTATTCTTCAATGTCGTTATCACCCTTGTCCTATTAGCATCTAGGAATTCACTATGTTGCACATTTGAAATGTCATCACACGACAACATAATGGGCTGACGTTGAGATGTCACGCTAAGAGACCTTCACGTAAATGTTTTAGTTATAATAAGACGATGACTTAGTAAATGACGTATAGAGATAGTCTTCGTACTGTATATAGGTCGTTATAGATTAGATTATACAAACCTCTGTGTAAATGTAATCACTTGTTCTATCTCTGGATTTAATAGGAAACGCGTTCCGTACATGACAGTCGTGCCTTGTCACACATAATTCTGGATGCTCTTGGTTCAAGTCAAGTCTCAATTCCTTCTTTTTTGACAGTTTTTTCCATGCTAACAATATTACCAGCGGCTCTCCGATGAAAATCAATGCATGACTTTATTGGTCAATATGTGTTACACTGTAACCACACAAACGTGAGAAATTGAATGGGAATGCGACAACATGGTCATGGCGATGGAGATTAATTGAAAGATAAGTTTGTGAAGTTAAATAATCAAGAGTTTTCTAGTTTCCATGTCACATTACCTTTGAGATGAAAAGAAAATCACATTATATTACACAAAATGAAATAAAATTTAAGAATTTTAAATTAAATTTATTTCAAAGGATGTGTAAATTAAATATGTCTATACAATGCAAAAAAGATGATGCTAGGTTGATAATGACTTGTGTTGGCTACACAATAGCACTAGGAGTAAAGAAAGAAAAAGTAGCGTGCTAATTCATGTCCTCATCTCCCACACCGGATATTTAAGCATCTGGCGAGCGGGGCGGCCAGTATATATACATACACAGTGACGGAGGTTTCAATTCACATTGTCCCCCCGATGATGATTTTCACTAAACGGCCTTGTTACGGACCTAGTTATTCCGTGCTGAGAAATGAGATAACTGAGGGGTGCCACAATTTTAATGTTTTTCTAACTTTTTTATAAATCGTTTTGTATGTGTTTGTTTATATTTTATTCACATTTTTATGCTCAGTAATTTTGTCGTTGTTTTTTTTACATGTTTAAATTTTGGAGTTGTAAATTTTTTATTTAAGGTTTTTAAAAGGTTTATTTTTCTATTTTAAATTCTTTTAAAATATTTTTTTATGGAAATATTTTTTAAGAAAGTTTTTATCAAATAAAAAACAATTATATATTTTTTTTAATAGATTTAAAATCCACAGAACTGGTGGAAAATTTAAACCAAGTTCAACTACTATTCCCGCTTTTAAAGTTTTCAACTAAGTTTGACTCAATCGGATAAATTAGAGAAGTTCCTAACTTGTACTCCGTATTTATAACGCAAAATGAAAAAATGTTGGAGTAACAACTCATATAATGGAAAGACCAATCATGCAACACTTAAGTGATTTGATGGACTATATGAGAAATTTTTAGAATTGAAGGACCAACCATGAATCGTTAACATGAATTGAAGGACGATTTGTGTAATTTTAAAACATGAAGGATAAATAAATACATCCTCCCCACGCATACCATGATATTTTCTAAAATAGAATTCATATGTAAGTTACTTAGAAGGAGATGATGTATTATTCTTCATATGTATATCAATGTATAATATTTATGTATTCTATCAATAGACAATATGATAGAACATATCTAATAATAATTTAATTTTGTTATTTAATTTTAGGTTTATATTTTAATATAATAACAATTTTATACATGCCGCGAGTACATATTTTACAGAAAAAATTGCGAGTCCGTGCGGAGCAAGGGGTAAAAGCTAGAACTACATCCGGAATATATAACAGATCTGATGTAAGGGTAAATGGTTATTTTTCAAAATACACATTAACTTACCCGTGAAAGACATTGCGGCTTACTCATCGTCCAAACCAGTTACACCATTAGTTTAGAAATAGGGGTTTTGAATTCTAAAAATAACCTCGGTTCTTATACTTTAAGGATACGATCTATCCACTTTAAACGAAGCTTTTGGATGAAACGAAATGTCTCTCACGGATACATTTGGAGGTACCCGGTGTATATTTGAAAATAGTGAGTTATCTGAAAATTATTATCTCAAAATAGAAAGTGCCCCGGAGTATATTTTAAAAATACGAGGTCCTCGACAGTTAGTTTATCAAACAAGGGGGGTCCTGGCGCAGTTTTCTCGCTAATTAAATACAGAAGGTTTCAGATCGAAAAAAAGGAAATGCTAGGGGTACACCAAATGGTATATCCCAATTGTTTCCCACTCCTCTTTGACAACAAAAATTGACAAGTAAATTCGAAAAAAATAAATAAATAAAATCAAATAAAAATGAATGGTGAAGAAGCATGTGGTCTTTCTTCATATTAGGTTTAGGAGAAAGCATTTTCTTTATTCATTCATTGATAATACTGTGGTGATGGATACATTTATAGGCTCCAACTCTAGAGAATCTAAATAATAAATGGTATCTAAATAAATTAAGAATCCTAATTATAAAAGGTAACTAAATAAACTAGGAAACTAAATAATCACCTAACAAAGATATTATTCCTTAACAATAATTAACTAACTATAAATAGTTCCTTACCATAATAATAATAATAATAATAATAATAATAATAATAATAACAATAATAAGAATAATAATAATAATAATAATAATAATAAGTCTCGTAACACTCTTCCCGCCTCGAAAACCAACTTGCCCTCAAGTTGGAAGTCTAGAAAAAACGAGGAATCCGGCGTTGTGAACGAACATCCTCCGGGGTCAAAGACCTTTATGAATGGATCATCAAAAGAATCGATCAAGCTCAAAGCATTCACAACTCCAAGTAAACAATTCAGAGAACCAATTAGAAGAAAATCTTGCCAGCACGCGTGACATCCCCAGAATCATAAAGGACAACAACGTCACTTTCTGACGTTCCAAATATTTTCGTGCATCCATAAAAAATGACACCATCACATGAATATTTTGCTTGGACAGTGTGGTCTCGTTGATCGTCACCAGAAACATCAACAACAACATTAACAATGGTAAGAGGAACAACATCTACGAGATTAATAATAAGATCATCATCGGGAACACTAACAGGATCAATAAAATTGTCCTTTTCAAATTCCTGGTCCTGCAAATTTGTGTTTTGCACAGGTACTGTTGGGGCCGAATCTCATGGAGTGCCGATGAGTTTCCTTATTAAAGCGCATCAT